ATATAGTTGTTGTTAAGTGACGTCAAGTCGGTTCTGACCCATAGCGACCCTGTATAAGGTTTCCAAGGAGCAACTGGTAACCTTGTATGTGTATATGTATATACAGTCAGTCTGCTAACCTCAAGATCAGCAGTTAAAAACTACCAGCTGTTCCGCTATATATATATACACACACACGTGTGTGTGTGTGTGTGTCATTGTTAGGTACCGTTGAGTCTGTACCAACTCATAAGAGCCTGATGAACAACAGAACCAAACACTGCCTAGCCCTGCACCAATCTCACAATCGGTGCTATGCTTTAGCCTATTACTGCTGCCATTGTACCAGTCCATCTCAATAGGGGTCTTCCTCTTTTTCGCAGATACTCCACTTAACAATCATGATATCCTTCTCCAAGGACTAGTCCCTCCTGATAATATGTCTGAAGCATGAGAGACCAAGTCTGGCCATCCTGGCTTCCGAGGAGCATCCTGGATGTAATTCTTCCAACACAGATCTGTTTGTTATTCTGGCAGTCCATGAGACTATTGAAAATACCATGGCTTGGGTCAGGCTCACCTTAGTCCTCGAACTGACATCTTTGCACTTCAACACTTTAAAGAGGTCTTGTGCAGACGGTTTCCCTAGTATAATAGGTCATTGTTGTTGTTGTTAAGTGCCATTGAGTTGATTCTGACCCATAGCAACCCTGTATAGGGTTTCCGAGGAGCAACTGGTGAGCTTGAACCGCTGACCTGGCGGTTGAAACTGGCTTCACAGTATGACGTATTAACTCACAACACCACACCAGGATTCCAATACATCATTGTCATTGTTGTTGTTAAGTGCCATGGAATCTGTTAAGACCCATAGCAACCCTACATAGGGTTTCCGAGGAGTATCTGGTAAGCTTGAACTGCAGACTTTGTAGTTCAAATGTCTTTGCAGTCTGGTGCATTTACCCACAGTGCAACACCAGGGTATATAGAGTGCTTGTGTGGTGCTGTAGGATAAGCACTGGACTGCAAGATCAATTTCAAACTCAAGGAGGCTGTTGAAACTCAGAAACCCTACTGTTATTTTAGTGCCATCAAGTGGGTTCTGACTCACAGGGACCCTGCATAGGGTTTTTGAGGAGTGGCTGGTCAGCTTGAACTGCCAACATTGGGGTTCAAACCACTGTTGCAGTCCAGCGCATTAATCCGCAATGCCACACCAGGATCGCTACACCAGGACTATACAAGGTCAGAACCAACTACATGTCACTAATGATATATATATTACTGTTTGGGGGGATGCATATAGTGACTCTATATGATAAGCAATGGACTGAGAATCACAAGATCCATAGTTTGAGCTCTACACCTACTCCATGGCAGAAAAAGAGACTTTCTACACCTGCAAAGATTTGTAGCCTGGAAACCCTATTACAAGGTCACTGTGAGTTGGAACTGACTCAATAGCACTTAACAATAACAAAAATATAGATACATATAGTTGGTAGAAGTGTGTACAGGTATGTGTGTATGCCCAGGCATACACAAAGCCTTTGTTTAAATGAAGCTTAGCTTTTCTTAAATAATTTATGACACAGTTTTAAGAATTATATCCAGAAACTCAGCAACCTAATGATTACCAGATGATCCGTAACTGAGTGAACCAAAAGGAACCTATCCGTACCACATAAGTTTCATCACGCAAAATGTTTTTATACTAAGAATAAAATATTACAAGGACTAAATATATTAAAAAGAGAAGCAAGAGTTGTGTTTGAGGTTTAAGTCCTGGTCTGAAATCTGAAGCATCTGT